AATCGAAAAGTTACTTAGTTACATCAGAATCACATGGGAGGGTTTACGGCTATTTAAAAAGTTCTACTTCATCTTCGCTTCACAATCAAGCGCTTTGATTATAAACTCAGTGGGTTAGAAGACCTAAATTGGCCTAGGTTCATCAGAAGGAGGAGTTTAGCAGGACATGCCCATGTTTGTGAATAAACAAATGGAGATCCCGTATACTCACGCAGAGCATCTCCTTAACTTGAACTGTGGACTCCTCCTGGATCGTGAAGAGGAGTGGACGGTCCAGATTGATGCCGAGTAGTGTGCTGTTCTTCCGCAGGACCGTGATGAAGGCGATGCAACTTGTAATATCCTGAAAGGTTTTCATAGAACAACAGGTAAATTTTCATTCAGTAACAGGGTGGTTGCAGCGGGGAATGTTCTTCCCGAAGAGGTTGTCCTCTTCAATTGCGTGAACACATTTAAGACCACACTAGACATGCACCAAACATTCTGTTTATCAGTCGAAATCTGACTCACAAGGTAGAGTACTACACAAATTTGTTACGCAAACTTAATACACATACTTATCATACTACTAGTCCTAAGTGAGTAGGTATAATTTATTATGTCGGGTCAACCTGCCTTTCACAAGCGGATAATGGAGGTATTTTTTATTTTTCGTTTCCATCCATGCATTTTAAGCCTCCATATGTTACGAATAGGGACCTCAAATTCATTCGCCAATCTTTTCCTCAATAAACTGATACTGAACAGTATCAAGAAAAAAGGGAAAATAGTTGGACGACGATTTAGTACCAATTAGGAGAGAGCACCAAACAGGTGCGTTTGCAGGCAGAACGGACATGTGATTTGACGAACGGGGTCCGCTGCTTGTGTGGCAAAAATCACTAATAACGGCTGCCGCAAAATATCCATCAATGGATGCCGGCATACTTCGCTGACAAAAATGTCCCATGGCTTTATTGACGAAACTCTGGCTTAATTGGTACTTTCAAAGATTTATATGTGCATACAGGTTTCGCTCCCTGACTAAAGTCCTCATTTACGTAAAGTTGAGCAATAGAAACCAGACCACTAGCTAGACGAAAAGATCCCTGCTAGGACGAATGGCAGTCTCTAAACGAGGCACAACATAAGTCTTACCTGGTCACACTGTCCGACGTCTATGAATTGCAGTTTATCGTTTGTCTGTAGAGCATGCGCTAAATGAACGCCACCTTTGGACTTAATTGGATTTCCAGTCATCTTTAGGATCAAAAGGGTCCGGTTTATCTTTAAATAAACACAGAGAGAAAAAGAATTTCATAAAGGGAAAGGTGTGGTTTCGATAAAATAGAAGTATAGGATTCAGAAACAAAAAATTAGACAACGGTGAGTTTCTCTTTTATTCACAATAGTAAGGCGATACGAAACAACATCTACGTTGCCTTAGTGTTTTGATGCTCAACAGTGGTGTCAACTTCTTGTCCGATGTGCTGCTTGGTATGAAATTGGGAGCCGGTCACCGTACCAGTCCGTTCTGTCAGACTACGTCCTCACGAAATGCCTGACAGTTACTCATATTCGGGTTCCTCGTAGACTGAACATGCCAAAAGATTGCGCTTATCCAGTGCTTTCGTTTACTTACCTAAATTCTAAAAGGACTTGATTGGACTTGCTGTCGGCTGACAATGTAAGAGGCTATCTGGGGTTTTTAAGCAGTCAGTCAATGAAGTCAGAGGGCAGAGAGTATTCCCAGCGGAGACAAAGGAGACTGGAATGGTCAGCAGCAGTTATATCTAGCCCCAACTGGTGTAACATTCGAGGCTAAAAACCGCGACCTTCTCTACCAAAGTCTAAATCTCTTACTATTGAGCCATGAGCTGGGTGTCTGCCGATTTAGATCGGGGACTGTTGACACTCGTTAACGCACGTTTACCTAATGAAGAGTACGGTGTTGAGCTTGCATCCGGACGCCGGCTAGCAGATCTTT